TTATTATTATTACTACTACTACTATTACTACTACTACTATTCTACTACTACTATTATTATTATTATTATTATTATTATTATTATTATTATTATTATTATTATTATTACTATTATCATTATTACTATTATTACTATTTTTCTTATTATTTTAAATATTAGAATTATTAATACTGCGTTAACTCTAGATAGTATTTGAATTTGAATATCATAATATTAATATTAGTTTAGTTTTTTCTTCATCTTGTTCAAGAAGTAAGTCAGTTTTTGGGCATATGGAGTTGAAGGTCCAACAAAGTCTTTATTTAAACACCTTCGTCTGGAATTTCACACAGTAAGGCGTTTAATTGCTATGGATGTGCCTGATAGCAATGGACAATAACAACCCATCGTCGTCGGTGGCCTAGTGGTTAGGCTCTCGGACTCGCAACCGTAAGGTCGTGGGTTCGAATCCCGTCAGGGGCCCAACGTTGTGTCCTTGGGAAAGGCACTTTGGACAGATTTTCCTCACTTCACCCAGGTGGAAATAGGACCCGGCTATAGACAGTGAAAGATCTTGTCAGTTTGATAGTGTTTGAGCGCGTGAAATCCGCTGCTTGCAGTGTATGCTTCCTCGGAAGCTGAGAATGTTTCTGAGTGTTCTCAGATGGTCTGCTGGTGTAATAAAATGTAATAGTTGTAAAGCGCATAGAGCATGCTCCTGAGCATGGATATGCGCTATATAAATGCCATTATTATTAATTATTATTTCCTTAGCCCCTATGTGTAGACTCATACAATTCTCCGATGCCCCACCACTTGGCTCATGATCTTGCCACGCAAAAGTGGTCATGTGACCCCCAGATGTCATAAAAGTCCAAGCTCCTTCAGGATTCTCTGCTGTAAAAAACTTACCTGAGATTGAGCGAGCTTGAGGGAGAGAGAAAGAAAGAAAGAGAGAGAGAGAGAGAGAGAGAGAGAGAGAGAGAGAGAGAGAGAGAGAGAGAGAGAGAGAGAGAGAAGGGGGGAGAGGGGAAAGGAGAGCTTTTTGAGAGAGAGAAAGAGTGATAGAGATAGAGAGATGAAGAGAGAAAGAGAGAGAGAGATATAGTTAGAAACAGACATAAAGTATAAAGAAACAAAAAAGAGAAATCAAAGGAGAACGAGAGAGAGAGAGAGAGAGAGAGAGAGAGAGAGAGAGAGAGAGAGAGAGAGAGAGAGAGAGAGAGAGAGAGAAAGAGAGAGAGAGAAAGAGAGATGTGTGAATTTATGTACATAAATCAAATCTACTTTACATGAAATAAACTGACTCTTTTCTCCTTTAAAAGTCCAAGAAAGTGTTTATTTAAAGACCCCCGTCAGGAATTTCACACAGTAAGGCGTTCATTTGCCATGGATGTGGCTGGTAGCAATGGACATCACTCATTTCCTTATCTCCTATGTGTAGACTCATACAATTCTCCGATGACCCACCACTTGGCTCTTGATCTTGCCACGCAAAAGTGGTCATGTAACCCCCAGATGTCATAAAAGTCCAAGTTCCTTCATGATGCTTATCTGTAGCACCTACCCAAACCCTCTCAAGATATGTGTGTTTGTTGAGAAAGTCAATAAGGAAGTCAAACTCCTGTCGGTCATTGATCTCCACGAGATATCCTCCATACAGTTGGCAGAGACGATTTGCTTCAAACACGTTTCCCCACAGTTGTTCGGAGACAAAGTAATGATGGCCTCTGTAGTTGGTCGAGGCTAGAGTTATTGCACCCTTAGAGTTTTCCACGCGAGTCGATAGATCCTTCAGTTTGATTTCCATCTGCTTCATCTTCGTCACAATCATGTCAGTGCTCACTCTGAAAGAGACAACGAATGTCAGTAAATCTGGAGTTTCATTTTAAAAGACATTATACCCAGTTTCGTAATATGTCCAGGAGAGCCAAAAATACACATCATCGTCCCACTAACACTAACAGTCAGTTGCTTTGATCTATAATTATATTATCCCCTAAACACTTTCCTTGCCTTAATTTTTAAGATGTTGATAACAGACTAAGGCAGAAATGTGCCCCGTGTTTTGAACTATCAAGTAAAATCGATAACTCAGTGTTGTCCAATGCAGGGTATAATGTCTTTTAAAGCTAATGCTTCAGAAGTATAAACGAAAATACAGGAAAATAATCTGCGTTAACTATTGTTTTGTTTTTTTTGCACCCCTGGAATAAATTGTTTATACTGTTTCCAAAAGACATTCATCTGTTTTAAAAAA